TCTGTCACTATAGATTAATTTACATTTTCTAGAACTTTGTATTAATGGAATCATCTAGAATGTACTCTTTTTTGTTTAGCTTTTTAAAGTCAGTGTTAAGTATATGGGATTATTCATGTTGTTGCCATGCATCAATAGTTCATTCCTTTCTATTGCTGAATAGTATTCCATGGTATGAATGCACCACAATTTGTTTATTCTCTAGCTGAGGAAAATTTGGATTATTTATAATTTTGGCTATTGTGAATAATGCTACTTTGAACATTCACATGCATGTCTTTGTGAAGACATATGGTTTCATTTTTGCTCTTGGGTCAATTCCCGGGAGTTAGAACTGCTGTGTCATATGAGAGGTATGTGTTTAACTTTTTAAGAAACTGTCAAACTGTTTTTTCAAAATGGTTATACCATTTTACATTCCAAGCATCACTGTATAGCACCTTTAAAAGTTCCAAACATCACGAGAGATATAGCAACTCTAATCCCCAAAGAAGGTGGATGTTCCAAAGACAGGGGACAAAGGCAGGAAAGGTTTCACGCAGAAAAAAAGATTCACACAGAAAGAGATGGTAATGTAGCCCCATACAGCCATTCCACCCCATGAGTGACTTGTAGGTGTGCTGTTTTAATTCTATCAGGAAAAAAATTTATCAAAATATAACCAATGGAAGATAAACTCATGTTTTGAAAGTCTAACATGAAGAGAAAAGGAAATCTTAAAAAGGTAGCAATAAAGCTGATGTAAGCCATCAAAGCAGCAGCTCACCTGAGCATCATCTACTAGTCAGTCACTAGGCTGAGCTGTACAAGATTTATACAGGCATACCTTGCTTTATTGTACTTTATTAATTCCACCTCACATATACTACATTTTCTTATAAATCAGAGTCAAGACCCTCCACCAGCAAAAAGATTGTGACTCGCTTTACTGCGGTGGTTTGGAGCCAAAGCTGCAATATCTATCTCTGAGGTATGCCTGTATATGGGCACTTTAGGGATGATTATCTCCATTTTACAGGTGAAGAAAACAGAGACAAAGAAGTTAAGAATGTGGTCTCAAGGTCATATAGTTTGTCAGAGATGGAACCAGACCCTCCTGACCCTAGACAATGCTTTTCATGGCTATGCTAATTCACTGCTCCATCTGCAGATTTCACATGTCTTTCAGCCTGCCTGGAAGATAGCTCCCTGAAGTTGAATGATACTATCCCTTAAGCCACACTGCTCCCTCTGTTTCTAGTTTTGTGCTCATCAAGCAACTTTCTGATATTTAACTGTTTTTCCAAGCCCATTCTCTACTTGGAAAAAGAGGAACTGACCAGTCAAAAGGAATAAGGTGGAGAGACTCAGTCAGCAGTGATTATCTCTCAGAATAAATTAAAACCGGGCATTCTGGTTTTGAACATTCATTTGTCCATAAATTTGGATCACTTGACTAATCACAGAGGCAGCAAAATCCTTTTCTGAGGACCATCATAATAGAGGAAAAAAATCACCGAGTCAGGCATCAATCCTGTACAAGCCCATAACTGCTAAACTCAACTCTAACAACAACAACAAAAAACATAAACAACCAAACAAAAACCACAAGCTACTGTTAAGTGTTAGAAAAAAATCTGGCTGATAGAACTACTACATATATATTACAGATAGAAGCATTCTCAGTAGCCTCCTTCCTTTACCAGCAGGAAAAATAAAAGTATATTATGCAAACTTATAGCATTTCTGCTGTAAATGTAAAGATGATGAATGGACCAAATTATTTAAAAGTAAAGAAAAAATATATTACCAGGTTAATAGGAAGGGCATATTTTTTCAGAAATAAATTTATTTTGGAAATATTGGACAAGTGGCAGGTCTTACTGATGGATCAGAATTTCTTCCCCCAACTCCCTGCTATATTCTCTAATACCTGAGGACCTAATTAAGATTTGGGGGAAAAGCCAAAATTTATATGTCTGTTTCCTCCCCAAAGGTTGGCCTGCTAATTCTTACTTGATCTTGAACAGGAAAAATCAGTAGATTCTTTGATTTCACACAAATCTTGCCAGTTCTTCCACACCCTAAATGTCTATAGGTTTACTATTTTCTATAGTGGGTATCCTAACTTCCTCTCTCAAGTTCCATTTTCTGTCTCCTAGATGACATTAGCAGTGGTGATTCTCAGAGGAAAGTATAATTGGAAGGTATGCACTAGGAACACCAAAACATGGCAAATGGGCCCACTGAAAGCTGGGAAGTAGTACTGAGAAGAATGCTCACCATATACCTGTCTTTCCCATATCAAGTCAGGAGAGTTGAGACTATTATGTCTTCAGGAAAGACTTGGGCTTTTGGTGAAATTGAGGAAGTAAAAGAAGGATAGAAGATTTTTTGAAGACAGTGAATAATAGCGTTATGTACAGAGTTAGGAAACATGGAATTTGCATAGCAAAAAAGGGTAAGAAAGAAGGAAGTACAACTGATTCATATATCCTTTTGAAAAAAACTTAACCACTGATTCAGTTCTCTTTAATTTTCTTAGCCAGTCCCTTCTTGTCTGAAAATACAGTTCAACTTCAACCTAGTATCTTTCAATTATCACAAATTTGGAATTAATAAAATTTCAGTAATTTGTGACTTCATCTCAATTATTCCTATGGGAATTATTCCTAGGGAAAGGAAGAAGGACAGGCCAGTCACAGGACAATAACTGCTGGGCCAACAAATGGTAGGCATAATAAGGAAGACAAAAAGTACATAGGTTTGTATGTGCATGTGTAACATATATACGTCACCAGGCAGGCTGGGACCAGCTATACAAAAAGGAAAAAGGCTTTATTACAGCAAGTCCATGAAAGCCTGTAGGTCTCACAAATGTCTACCAAGGAGGATATTTTGTTTATTCTGATCATTTCAAGTTGGAGTCAACTTTGAAAGAGAACTGATGTTAAGTAATATAAATGTAAAACTGGTTGTTTTTATGGTTTACTTTGAGGAGCCTAAAGGGTACCACTCAGAGAATCATTAGACGATAGACCCTGATGTCTGCCATAAAGTTGCAAATATGCATAGCTCATCAACATTTGATATAGATATTGGCAAAACGACACTTTTGGTACTTTAAAATGTATCACAGAATCTTCAGCCTGAAAGCAATCATTAAGATGACCTAATTCAGTCCCCTTCTCTTAAAGATGAGAAAATTTAGAGGCTAAAAGGGGCATTTTACGCAACATGTACAAAGTAGAAAGAACATAAATGAAATCTCTTATTTAAAAGCAGAGAATTAAAGAGAATTGAATCAAAGCGAGTCAAAAACCTTTTAAAAAGAAACATGTCTTCTTGCTTCATTTTTTACACAAAAAAATTATAAATGATATCCTTTCGCTCTTGTAGAAGAGGACTCACACCATTTCAAATTAGATCTTTTCGCAAATACACACTCATTCCTTCAGGCAGACACACTACCATACAGTTCTTTCCTTTTACATTCAACTCTAGATCCCATCACCTAACCGAAGGTTTTTCACAAAGTTTTGAAAAATTGCTGAAGCTCAGCAAGTTAAGCAGGTTTAATAATTCTCACCTCAATGTACCTACTTTTAGAAGAAAAAAAAAACAACCCAAAAAACAGAGGTAGCATAATCTAAATGTAAAATACCCTTATTTTAGAAATTAGAAAACAGAGGTGAGTAGTCTGGAATTTTCATTGTGTCCAAGACCCTCCAAAAGAGGGGATACTGGCTATTTAAACAAAAAGTGCATGTAGTGAATCGGGAGCCGCATCATCAAGCACTGCCAGCGGTTCTCTGCAGTGCTCACTGGGAGGCAGGCTACATGTCAGAACCAAAAGAAATATGAACTATATATGTTAGAGATAACCTAAAATCAGCCCTAAGGAACTCCAATGGCATTCTAATCCCCTTACTCAAGCAAGAGGAAAAGGGGTAATATTGTACCGAACCCTGGATTTACCCAGCATGTCCCCCATTTGTATTGAGGGTCAGCCTGCATGTCTGAGAGGATGAGTGGACAACCTGATATTATTCATTTGACAGAGGAGAAAACTTAAATCAATGGCTTGGACAGGTCCTTCTGACAGCTGACAATTTCAGTTTAGAGAAGGCTCTTCTGAAAAGTGTTTGGTCTACAGCCACTTGGAAGGAGAACTGATGACAGCCAGGTATTTCTTCCAATATTAATACAATGACTAATTGGTTACTAATGTTTTGAGGCTCCAGGACTCAATCTAACAATTATTACTGACAGAACATGTCTAACCTTCAAAGCTGTTGACACCTATATACCATGTAAACTCCACTAAGAGGAGACCGCCTGATGTCCAGCTTGAAGCACCTGTTGGCTACTGACCACAATGAGAAAATTCCAAATTATGTGTAATTAAGTTGAATTATTCATTCACATTCTCTACCCCACTCCCTCTTTTCCTGGGCTTCCCTTTTATCTTTCCTTCCTCCACCCCAATGGTATGCAGCAGGGGTCAACAAAGTTCTCTGTAAAGGACCAGACAGTAAATAGTTTAGGCTTTTTGGGCTCTGCCATTGGAGCACAAAGGTAGCCATAGACAATCCATAAATGAATGGGGCATAGCTGTGTTTCAATACAACTCTTTACAAAATCAGGCAGTGGGCAGATTTGGCTCATGGGGCTGTAGTTTGTCAACCCCTGGTATAGAGTAGCAGTTCTCAAACTTCAGCCTGCATCAGAATCACCAATAGTACTTGTTAATACACAGATTTCTGGGCCCCAGTCTTAAAGTTTATGACTTGGTAGGTCTGTAGGGAGCCTGAGATTCTGCATTTTTCCTAAGTTCCCGAACGATGTTGCTGTTGCTGGTTTAGGCACCACACTTTGAGAACCACTGGGATAGACAGAATAATGGTCTATACTCTATACTACACTCATTGGAAGTTTGAAATGTAATAAACAACAAAATGAAAATAACGTGCTGTAAACTTGACTGCTAATTTTATAGAATATTTCATATGAAGACTTACTGTTAAGTGCCATAATATTATCTGTTCCTGGATGATGGAAATTTATTCCCATGCGCCCTAAAAAATAAAATAATTTTATTTTAAGCACAAAGAAAATAATTCTTAATACAATTGTTTAAAATACACTGTGCAATATGAACATTATAAAAATATAAAACAAATTAAATCTGTAACAAACAATGCTATCAAAAGTCATAGCGATTACAAGTTTTTAAATCAAGCCATAAAATATAAACATGAAAAATCTTAAAACAAAGCCAAAGTCTCAATAACAACAAATAAATAAAACAAAACAAAAAGAAGCTTCCATTATAATCGTCTAAAATTTCAAGTCATCTCCCGCATTCCGATTAAAACATGCCAACTCCCTGAATTAAGCATTTTATTTAAAAAACAATTCATAGTGCCTTTCCAATTTAAGCAGCAAAATAATGAATTCAAGAAGTATATAAACTTGAAGCTTAGAGTGAATAAAAAGATAAAGGTTTCATAGCAGCTCAAAAATACAGCAATTATCAGAATGGCAACTGGAAGAAAGATGGTGAAATTTATATAACAGAGTGGGGAACAATGAACCTAGGGTTCTTACTGCCGCCCCTACCTCTAACTAGTCATATGACCTTGGGCATAATGTTTGTCTCCAGACCTTTGTCCTTATAGTAAACAGGTCACAAACTTCTGCCTACTTGTTTTTGTATGTCTCCTCTGAGCTAAGAATCATTTTTACATTTTTAAAGGATTGTAAAATTAAAAATTAAAAAACAAAGAATGTGTGAGAGAGACCCACAGGCTGAACATATTTACTCTCTGGCCCTTTACAAAGTTTGCCAACCTCTGGTCTCTAAGATGAAAGAATGACTCAGATGTTTCGGCTAACAGCCTCCAAGGTTAAGAGTAAAAGATGTACATGTTTGGTATGTTTTTTCATTAATTACTTGGGGAAAGGAGGTGGATATATTAAAAGAAAAATGAAACAGAGAGTCTTATATGGAAAAACTATATACATACTTAGTAAGTTTTCTTGGCTAATTCCTTCAACAAAATAGTTATTGAAACAATGCTTTTGTGTAAAGCTAGTGGCTATGAACTTGGCTCTGCAAGGTTTTCATGTCCAATTATGTCAAGCCTTACGATAAAATTCTCAGAAAAATGTTAACTTTAGATCACGAGCACTACCATTTAAATAAATGTCAACAGTATTTTCAGGGAAAGGGATACAGAACAAGCTGGAGATCAGGAGGAAGTGACTGACTTTTCCAACAAATACAGTGTTATAATTGCAAAAGGTCAGTCATCATTTGGTAGTAAACTCTGTTACAGGGTACTAGAGGCAAACAGCATTATCAAGCTCTTCTGGCCCAAAAGAAAAGAATCACAGTGGACGAAACAGAGTATTTGCCTCCAATAAAAAGGGGTAGTCATGAATTCCAAGTCAAATCAAGGCCATCCTACTCTCCTAAAGACCCACAGGCCAAATAATTTGTGAAAGGTCATTTCACATTAAGGGATAGGGAAAAACAAAACTCTCTTAAGTGTAGTGTTGCTTTTATTGATGGATGGATGGATGGATGGATGGATGTGTGTGTGTGTGTGTGTGTGTGTGTGAGAGAGAGAGAGAGAGAGAGAGAGAGAGAGAGAGAGAGAGAGAGAGAGAAACTGAGAATGGAAAAACCATCAACAGTTGATGGATTCCGATGAAAGCATTCTAATTATACCATGAAGCATTATAGAACTTTCAGTAAAAATTATTTTTTGTTTTTATTATTTTAAACTTCCTTATTAGGAGGAAGACATTACATCTATCCCTAGGTCAGGGGAGACTATGTTGCTAGCATTTACATTATGAGAAAATTATTTTTTAGAATATATTTTGTTTTCTATAGAAAATCATTAGTAAAGAAACATCTCTTAATAATAGAAATGCCTCTTTTATTTTTAAATAAATTTTGTGTAACTTTTCATATTTATTAGAAGCTAATTATTAGGAGTTTCAAAAGCTACCTATTGTTAAAAGACATATTTAACAGTATCTATGTATGTAATTGCTCTTTGTACCTTACCTTTTTCCAGCTCCTGAGCCAATCTAGAGTCCCTAAAAATTATAGTCTGTACCATATGCAAGGAGTGCTATCTCTTACCACCACCTTGATCGGCACCCATTTTAGGAAAATTTGTCACCAGAATGAGGCTTTGATTCAGCAGGGAGAATTTATATTCTGGTTTTAGTTAGCTATATCAGTGTTCTTTCCATTATTTTCAGATAATCAGGACATTCTTTGGATTCATTACCACCAAATACAAACATCCATGAGAACTAGGCTGATTTACTCAGCATATTCTGAGGTATTCAAATTTAATAGTAAATAGCAAGTTACTGGAAAATGTGCCTAAAAACCCAATTAAGAGTTCAAAATCAATGCCCATTAGAACTTAGGGAAATGGCACAGAAAGAGGGACTCTATGCTCTTTGACCAAGGAATATTGGGGGTGGGTGTTCCTAAAAGCGAGGGATGTCCCCTAAACATTTCTAGAATAAAGGGTTATCAAGAAAACCAAGTAAGCCCAAATTTAGCTGATCCTCCTTCAACTTCTTTTATTTCCTATGCTACAATCATTTATGGTAAAAAAAATTATGTAGTTTATAATACAATCACTACATCAAATAAGAGTTTTTGTATGTTTTTAAATAAAACTGCTTATGTTCCCATTCTTAAAGGTGTGTTTTCTCTGCAGTCCTCCAGAAGTTGGATCCTTTTTGGACTCTTTCCATGAGATTTTAGGATTTTTCAGCATGGAAAAACGAAACTGAAAAGAAGCTTGGTAGTTTTCTAATTATCATCCTCTATCCCACACTGACTTCTTCCAATTCAATCTCTCTGAAGATGCAGCAAAAACAAGAGCCTTAGACAATGTTTTATAGATGAAGACATCGCTACTTGCTGAAAAGCAGAAAACTTTTTGCTTTTCCTGGTGTTCTCCCTAACTCTGTTGGCCTCTTTGACCCAACGGATCTGTGGATCAATATCATTAACAAAAGATATTATAAGAAACTCTGGGTTGATGCCAGACTCATAAGAACCAATTATTTAAATATAAACTAATTTTCCCCCAACTGAATGTTAATTATTTTAGTAAAATCACTTACGGCTTCTTTAAGCTATTTTCTTTACCTCTTCAAAAATTAATGTTTAGATTATAAAGTACTATATATTTTCATTGGAGACAAATTAGACAATACATAAAAATGAAGAAAACAAGATCACCAATCAAAGACAAGCTCTGTTAACATTTTGATTTACAGTCTTCCAGTTTAGGGAGTACAGTATATAAAGGTTTCTTTTCAAAAATTGGAAATTATTTTATAATTTTATTTTTTACTTAATATATTGTATGTCTTAAGTCTTACAGTTATGGGATTTTGGAGGAGAGAAAATATGTAACAGCAAAAGAAAAACTGATTTCAAATTCAGATGAGGCCATTTCTTTTTTTCTTCCCTTGGTCCAACAAATACTGCTGTTTAATCAGCTGTGAAAATAGACTCAAGTGTGTGACATCTGGAGATTTCTGTTAATGCAGTCTGGTGCTGCCAGCGTGACATTTTGTCCACAGTCTGCTATTTTTAAATTGTTCTTGTCAGCTAGCTATCTTTTAAGAATAGTGTAAAATATAAGGTTTTGAAAACTGGAAAGCATACTTGGTTTTACTGAGTTAAATGATGCTGTGGAAATCTGAGACTATGTCCCACTTTCCCCACTGCACAGGGCCTGAAAAATGTGGGTGAGAGGAGATGGAGGGAGAAGTTGGAAGAATAGGGTTCTGCATGGTTATTTGGACTGTAAAAATCACAGTCTCATGAGCTCAATTCACATTCATATTTAAGAGACCAGTCATAAAAAACTACCTCTGCTGTTATTCAAAGTTTTAGAGTCCAAATAACCCACACTTTTACATGTCCAAAATAGAAATTGGAATTGTTATTCTTTCATAATTAATTATGAAAATCACCTCTTCACTTCTACAATATGTTATGAGATAGGGAACAACTGCTATATCTTCCTCTAATCATCCCCATTTGCTCTAAAAAGTCAAGTCCTTCAGAGACCTTCACATTACAGAATGTGAGTGCCACATTCCAGAAAAGGTTATAAGACAAAATGCATATTTTACTCAATTCTATTTCCCACCTCTTTTTTCTATAAAGTTGAAGATAAAGTTGGAAATTATTTTATTTTATTTCCTTCAGAAAAAGTATCCATAAGATGTAGTAAAATATAATATGTGGGAATACAATAAACTGGTGTTTTAAATCTCTTCTAAGGAAAAATGATAAAAGTTTGGTACTATAAATATTCTAAATATGTTCCAAAGAGCCAAGAAGCAAATGCTGTGAGTTTAGACCTCAGGTCAAATCCTAGTTTATTCACATACCAGTAGTGGATAATTTTCGGCATTTTATCCCATTCCCTTGTACCTACGTTTCCTCATTTCAGGCTGTACTCTAGAAATATTAAATCAGAATTTCTGGAGGTAGTACACAGGATTAAAGTACCGACAATCTTTTTCTTTTAAAACTCTCAGGTGAGTACACTGCTCCATTGAAAGGATCACTGGGCAAATTAATGGGAGGTACCTATAAAAAAAAAATCACTCAACTTCTATCTACTGTCTCCTTTCTTGTACAGAACAAGAACAATCACTTCTCACTAAGTCAGTACCTGTGCCCTAAAAGTATGTGGAATCTGCTAATTCTTATACAAGACAAACTGATATGGGCTGAAGGGAGGTAGCACAAAAATAGAACTGGAGTAACAATTCAAATAAGGAAAGGGACAGTATTTTTTCTGAACAAACTGAATATAATGAAGGTGCACTTTTCCTAAAACAAAGGAACCTCAACATTTCACAAAAAAGGCCAATTTTGTGAAAGGCTACATATTGCTAAATCTAAATTGTGATGAATAAATAAAGGTGTGGCATGTATTCCTTCCAAGTTTATGTCAATTTAAATGTTTTAAAGCACTATTATCAGAAGACAGCTATTTTTTCCCCCAGATTTAGTATATATTTGAAAAGCAAACACTTCGATATCAGTTCTCAACTGACACCTGCTCTTTTCATTTTTCAAATTTCAGTTCCATGAATGGTGAAGGAAGAGAACATTCAAACATATAAAAATGTTTCATCAAGTACTATCCCCAAGTAGTCAGCCAGGCCTACTTACTCTTGTGTTGGAAAAGGGAGGCTGCATGGGATGAGAAAAAGGTGCTACTTCAGCCAGGGACAGGACCTTGCTTCTCAATGTCACCTACACTTCCCAATGCACTGGGGTTGGTATTTCCATATGATTCTTATATCTCATTACTTTGTTGTTTTTGAATATTAATCCTAAAGGAGGGTATGATTAATCAAACCTAGTGACCCTGGGTTTTCACAGGGGTTCCCCAGTGGCTAGATGAACCTACATCATTAGTAGCAAGTCAGGGGACAGCTAGCTGTAAGGAGGGTATATAGATGAACCTTTTTCCCCTATTGTTTATCCTACCTCTCCCAATGCCTGAAATCCCCTTAATTCTCAGTTATGAGGAGAATTGGATTTCTCTTCAGTCCACTACAAAAGAGGGCAGAGAACAATTCCTCCCACACAGGCCTCACTCATACTTCGACCAACCCCAAGGATTTCTGTACTTAGAAAAAAAATAAGGGACAGTTTTCCTTAGTTCATCACCCTGCTCAAAACTCTCATCTCTTAGAGGCATTCTCTGAAATGAACAATAGAAAAAGTCACACATAAGATATGGTAAGAAATAACAGGTCATTGTTAAAATTTTATTCTGTTACAACTGAAAACTGTAGCTGGAGATCTTTAAGAAGCCCAAAAATGAGTCTAATTTTTATTTAAATAAGGGTTCTGTGATCTGATCAACAATGCAGAAGACATTCCTCAGGGCGCTGTGAAGAAAGCTCAGTTCAACTTTTCCTCTACATTACTTGACATTTTTATCATGGGGGAGAAGGGGGGGGACCTTTTAAAATTTCCTACAAATATCTTCAATGCTGACCTAGTATAAGTATAAACGTAACTGGAAAACTGTTAAAGCTCTTTTACTATAACAGAAATCTTATTACTTCCTGAACTTCCTATCTGTCAGTTCTCCCACTAATCCTTTTTTTCCTCTGAATCAATGGAACAGTCAAATAAAGGAATTTCTTATTGAATATAAATATTTCTAAGATAAAATATCACTGTGAACATATTTTCACCATGTTCACTTTAAGTACATAATGAAGTACTTTATTTTTCATGAATGTGATATCTTATACTTTCTTTACATTATTCAGATACGCAATTTTGGAAAGCCAACATAACTTATAGGATTATTTTCCTTTCTCCTTTAAATGGTTTTTGATAATGATAGAACATTTATCCTTATAATCATTATTATCTATGGCAAATACAAAATTTTGAAAACTTTCATTTGAAAGCTTTCCATTTAGCTGCAGTCTAGTTGGAAGGAAGTAAATATTATAGGGATAAAGGTTTATTACCCAGGTCAGGCAGTAGGCATACCACTACCACTGCCAGCAAAAAAATCGTAGATAACATTTGAGCAGTTTCTAGTGTCAGGAACTTTATCTGACTCTATGAAGTAGGCGCTTTATTTTCATGAAGAGGACACCAGGACTTTGAAGAGGCTAACAAATTTATCTGTATCAATAGTAAACTGGAGGCAGATCCAGAATTCAAACTCAAGTTTGAATGACTGCAAAATCAGAAAGGGTGAGTTGAAATTTCATCTCCTCTACAGAGAATATAAAATGTCCGGAATAAATGTTAATAAAAATAACAACCTTTGTATCTCTACGTAGTAAGTCTCACGTGGTTTTTTCACTTTCCTTTTTGTCTTCTTATGTATTATTTGAATTTCTTACAATGGGCAAGAATGTATTGTTTTCTAAGGAAAATTGAGCTCCAGAAAAAAAACACTAAAACAAACAAGCATACAGAAAAAACAATGACTCTATAATTGAGTTTTGAGACCCTCAAAATAGTGTTCCTATTTTCAAGTGGGAGTAGACGATACTAAAGGAGGGAGGAAAAATAGAATGGAGTAGAGGAAAGTGTTTCTGGACAGAAGCCACATGGTGGGTCCCCTGGCCTACCTACTACCTTTCTCTCAAAGCTCAATTCACTTAGAGGTTTACATCTTTTTATTTTTAACTGACTAGAGGTTTACATCTTTTGACCCAGAGACCCTCTCTATGAATTTACTTTAAGTAAAAGCAATGTGCAAGAACTCATCCATAGCAGCATTCCCTATAATGAAAAAAAAAGCTGAACACAAACTCAGAGTTCAAAGTTAAGGCCTATCAATAAATTATGAAGACCAGGTAAAAATATGGACGATGTTTATTACATGGGAAATAGAAAATAAAGGGTATACCATCACAATGTTTATTTTTTTAGTTATCTTTTTGTTATTATAAATTTGTTTTTTAAAGTCAAAGTTACTTAAAATCTTTCCTTTAAAATGCTATCATCATAATTATGTCATTAGAAGTAATAAGGATCAAACACATAGTGTCATAAACCAGATATAAAAGTCTCCCAGCTGGAAAAGGAAAGCAGGAAGCTCAAACACCCTAACCAGAGGACAATGACATGATGATGTAATTGACCATGGGAAGTAGTCCGTTCATAGTCCATCAATGTCGGTGGTATGATGAACTGAGAAATTGCAACTATATTGAGGCCATAAAAAAGTACATATTAAATGCCTTCCAACTTATTAGGACATGTTATAAGTACAATGAAGAAGACTTCTATAGATGAAATCTCACATTTTTAAGTGTAGTAGAGGAATTTATGCAGAGATAGTTGGGCGTGTAATAAAAATGGGGCCACCACAACTGGAATAAGGTATTTACATTATCCCATAATGAGGTGCCCTCCTCACACTTTGCCAGTGCTACTCTCAACAGGACACAATAGCTCCTGCTTAAATAATATCCACAAAACTCTAGAAAATTATTTTACAGACTATAATCTAAGATCCTTTTGTAATCTTTTATTGCTAGAAGAAAACAATACAGATTAAGATAAGACAAGTATGCACAGAGCAAGAGTGGAATAATTTTGGAATAATTAGAAAAGGCTTATAGATATTTGAGGTAGAGAAGGAAGACAAATGCAGTCTTAGATTTTAAAAACCAAAACAGTCTGTGAATATCGGTTGTTTTTTTTTACACCATTCTCATTCCAAGTGAAATATGCTTTAAATTACTATGTACCTAATCTTTCAACTGAAGAAAGACATGGTAACAGTGACTAAATATAACAATGAATACATGAGAGATTTTTTTTTCCTACTTCTGAAGGCTTTAAAATATAACTTTTCTCAAAATCCTTTATTTTCTTCATAGCCTGTTAACTACTTTCTTTTTCACTGGAAATTGAGAAATGCAGTAGAAAATCATGAGTGTGACAAGAAAAGAATGAAATGGATTTCTTGTGTGGCTGAAAGAAGTGACTATCAGGTGTTCACAGTCAGTCATATGCTATATAAAAGCCTGGAGAGAACCGGAGGGGATCAAATTCCTGGCAACTCCAGAGGACACAGGGGTTCATACTAGATAGGCATTCCTGTGGCTAGCTCTTCACAGTTTTCAGATAGTTAGGGTCTAAACCCAAGTATAGTGGCTATTTCAACAGAAAATTTCCATTAAAGTGTTTTAAAATACCATAGGGCCCCTAAAAAGTCCTATAACCCATAAAAAGAACTATTTGTAATTATGAGCATAACATCAGCCTCTACCCTGAATTTACACAGGCTGTAAAAATAGTAAGTCCTTGGGACTCTCCGCCTTCTATTTAACCCCAAACATTTATACACTTTAACCCTCCATCAGGCGCAATGCAAAAGTTACGAGTTCAGGCGCAATGCATCTACGAGATACGTGTATGACATTTATTTATTTAAATTGAAATTGAATGAAAACGTGTAAGCATGCCTATTACTTCAGAATAAAATTTTAATTTGCCACAAAGTAAAAACAATATATGTTTATTACATAAATTCAGTATAAAAATCAACAATTTGTGTGCAATGAATCTGTGAGATCAGTTGCACCCGATGGAGGGTTAAGACATTTTTCTTGTGTTTTAGCCTTACAGAATGCAAAAAGGTTGCCGGCTGCTCTTAAGTCTGTGTAATGTTACTTCTTATACTAGAAAATTGATTATAAATTAATAAAATGGAACCCTTTTCTATGAAGTTTTCTGAAGTAGTCTTTAGAGACTGGTTTACTAAATCTCATACTTCCTTACATTATACTTGCACTTAAATGAATTATCCAGGTTCAGCTAAGGATTCCGAATGCACAAAGCCTACAAACATAGCTTCTGGTCTCATGCTATAACCACGACCTCAGCTACCCAACACATGCTTCTGCCAGACATTATGATTAAAGCAGTCAACCTTGAAAATCATAGGTAGCTGAACCCGGGTTAAAAAAAAAAATCAACTTTAAATACATTCCACAATGTTGTACAGAAGCAAACAAAAACAAACAAAAAACAAACAAAACCAAAAAAAAATCACAATTATTAAAAAGCTGATTTTTGTTTAAAACACCAAGCAAGGAATGGACATATGAATATTCCTAACCTGCAAAATGATTCCTCCACATTATATCAGCGAAACTCATTGGTGGGCCACTGGGAGGGTAGTGTTTACCTTTCAGAGGCTCATGATCAGTCCTGATCATATCCATTAAGGAGTTCTCCAACGAGTGCAAGTTAAAAGTGTCATAGGGCCTACTCCGGTCCTAAAAACAAAA